TATCTATGTGGGTTGGATCAGGGTCGACCCCCATCCAACCCAAAGTGCGGATTGGGTGGGTTGGATATGGATTTGCGGATTGGGTCAGCCAGTCTATCCTGGCGTAGCAAGGGGAGTTAGAGGTGTGAGGTTCACCTTAGACTGGCTGACCCAATCCGCAAATCCATATCCAACCCGCCCAATCCGCACTTTGGGTTGGATAGGGGTTGACCCTGATCCAATCCGCATGGATATGGATGGATGACATCTAACCCACATGGATATGGATAACCCATTAGGTGCACATGATCTAGGGCCTTAAGGGACTGATAAGCTTATCCAACCTAATCTAGGCCTAGGTAGGGATATATTTTTATATATATAGATAGAGAATAGTCATATCTATCTATATATAAAATAAAAATATTAGATTTACTAAGAGAAATTAGAGTTATGGTGGATTTTATATTTTAGATAATAATACTTAGTGTAATAGATGGGTGTCCAGTCCAACCCACTACCAACTCGGCCAAAAGGCCATTATGACCAGATCCTAACGGATCTGATCAACCGGATCGCACCTATATACCTTAATCCTTTACAACTGTACCCCCTCTCTCTGAGGCACGCCCTCGGGCCTTAGATAAGCTGTAAGGAACTAGGAATAGATAGGTGGGGGCCCCCAGGAATGTCCTAAGTCATCCTGTGAGCTAGTAGGTGGCAGTTAAATCCAGTAGCGCAACTAGTAGGGATCACCATCCCTACATTCCATACCACAGTCCTACATATCTCCACGACCTTAGTAGGGACAGGGAACCAGAAATTAATCTGTCTCCAGCTGGATTCGAACCCAAAGCCTATTATCTAACCCGTTAGGATCTGGTCATATTGTAATAGATGGGTGTCCAGTCCAACCCACTACCAACTCGGCCAAAAGGCCATTATGACCAGATCCTAACGGATCTGATCAACCGGATCGCACCTATATACCTTAATCCTTTACACTTAGGACAGTAGTAATAAGAAATATATATCTCCGCACCATTTTTCATCCCAACTTTAGGAAGCCCCTATACCCCCCTAATTAAGCATATTTCAGCTTATAGGATAGGTAATATATAATATTTATATAATAAGTTATTATATTAATAAATAAAACATATAGATATCCTAGTGGTGTGGCTAGAATACTAGAAAAATGGGTGGTAATTAGAATACTAGGGGTCACCTGACTAGGTATTATGGATATATCCATTATCCGCAATCCAACCCGCATGGATATGAGGGTGGGTTAGATAGGTGGTGGATTAACCCATAACCCACATGGGTTGGATTGAACCCCTTGCGGATCCATCCAAACCCAATCCACGACCAGTCTAGTTCACCTCTAGCAATTCTATCATCTGACCGCCTTCCTTATCCAGTATAGTGCTGTTGCTTATTCCTTTGCTTATTATATTGATTGCTTCATTCACCCCCCGAGCTTCAACCTCATCCAACTCATCATCTGCACTTCCCACTAAGCTGGGCAAATCATCGATATCTGGCAGCTCATTGATTTCAACAGGCAATTCTGGCAGATCCGATATTTTGATTGCTTCAGCGTGGAATGGCTGATTTGGATTAAATAGGACGTCTTTATTAAATGTCACATCTCTCTTGTTAGTGATTGTTCTAGTTACTGGATTCCATATCTTCTATATATTGGATGCTGTATAGCTGACTAGATAGCCTACCTAGGCGCGCGGATCCAGCTTCTTCATTCTTGGAATCTTATAGTGCCTAATGTAAGCTCTGCATCTATATATGTGGAGATTTGCTAATGATGGCTTCTTGCTATAAAGTTTCTTATAGGGTGTGATCCATATCCATTTTGTTTGACCATTCTCCTCTACTGCCTCTCTGCGCGGTCGTCTATTCTGCAGATAGGTAGTGGCCTGGAATATATGCGGCCATAGCTTCTCAGGCAGTTGTGTACTGATTTGCATGCTTTGGGCTATTTTGATAATTGTCTTCCTAGAACGTTCAATCAGCCCTAGACTGGCTGACCCAATCCGCAAATCCATATCCAACCCACCCAATCCGCACTTTGGGTTGGATGGGGGTCGACCCTGATCCAACCCACATAGATATGGGTGGATGGCATCCAACCCATATGGATATGGATAACCCATTGGGTGCACGTGACCGGCAGAATAATAGAATATTCATGATATTCTCTCAAAGAGAGATCTTTCTACCTACTAAAAGTAGTATAGTCTAGATTCTTAGGTCTTTCCGCCTACCAAAAGTAGTATAGTCTAAAATCACGTGTATGATATGGGTAGAATGGTTATCCGCAACCCAACCCGCATGGATATGAGGGTGGGTCAGATAGGTGGTGGATCAACCCAAAACCCATGTGGGTTGGATTGAACCCCCTGCGGATCCATCCAAACCCAACCCACGACCAGTCTAATCAGCCCTTTCTGCTCATCAATATATTGAGTTAAATGATAGATCTTGGTGCCCTTAGATTTCATAGTGCGGATATATTCATTTCTAAGTATTGGCTTGCGGTTAGAAAACATCTTCTTTGGCTTGAGGCTAAATTGTGTTTTGACCTATTAGATGAATTGCTTTATTAGGCCATTAAGCTGATCTTTATCTGGATGTGTGTAGATTACATGCCATCTAGTTGATTCATAAATGAAATGTGTCGCCCAATGATCTCTATTGTGGGTAATTAATAGTGGAATCAAATCAAAATGAACGCTTTTAAACGGCTCTATAGACCTCTCTCTAGGGGTCTGAGATATCTGCTTAGCAGCCTTCGCTAGCCTGCATGTCTCGCAGATTGATCTCTTGCAGCTCAACACTTTGGCACCTATTGAGGCCTCCTCTAAGTGCTGTACGGCTTCATCTCCCAGGTGTGCTAGCCGTTGATACCATCGTTCGCTAGTTTCAGCTGATTCATGGGGCCTCTCTGAGTATTGGTTCATTGCAAAGATATTTGATATCGGATTATATTCCATGATCTCCATATTATGTTTTAATTTAGTGCGGCAGATCAGCTTCCTATTCTGATCTTCTATTACATTGGTGCGTTGATTAAGATAATATCCATGCCTTTTCATCTGAAAAGTTAAGAGCAGATTTGTATGGCAATTAGGTATGTAAGCCACTTAACCGACTTCTAAGATGTGCAGCTTCTGATTTATTCTAATTGCTCGCAGTTTAACCTTTCCCTATCCATGGATTTTCACTTTAATGGTTCTAAAACACACATACTCTCCCTCCACTGGTTTGTAGGTGAGGAATTGAGTTTAATCATTACAGATGTTGATATCTGCTCCCGAATCAATGATCCAGCTATCTCGCAGTTTATATGTGTTCCTGCCCATAGAGAACACTGCTGAATTGCTTCTTATAATGCTCATTGCCGTGCGAGATGCTTCCTGATTCTGATTGTGATTAGCTTGCTTAATTGCTGCATCCATTGCGTGCTTTACCCTTGGATTTTACTTAATCTTCTTGAATTGTTCTATAATATCTAGATTCGGCTTCCATCCCTTTGGCTGTATTAATTTAATCATATATGGGCACTTATTAAACAAGTGCCTTTCTCCGCAGGGGTAGTCATCTCGCTTAGGCTGTTCGAATCCACGATTCTGATTAGCTGAATCAGAATTTGATTGGTTAGAGGATTGTCCCTTAAACATGGCAAAGATGTTCTTCTGTTCTCTCTGGCTAAGGCTTTCCTAGTGTTTTTGATAATGAGAGATCTCATCAAAGACACTCAGCTTGCTGTCCTCTAGCAGATGATCCAATCGAATGCTAGCATATTGAGATTTAATCTTTTTTAACGCCATGAGGAAGGTCCTGGTGCCTATATATCCAGTATATTATGTTATATTTAGTTTAGTACACACACTCAGTACCTTCTCCCACTCGCTTAGCCAGCTTGATACATTCTAATTGGCTGGCTTAGCAGCAAGCTTTTGATATCTCTCTTGGATATTGTTCATTCGCGTTTTGATTAAAGGCTTTAGGTTGGCCTTAAGCTTTCAATATCTCTTAACCTTATTATCTGATTAGCTGGTTAGCTGCTGGAGATGTTCCCTGGCTACTATTTGCTCCATAGTGGTCTAGATAGCCGCGAGGCCTTGATGATCTAGTTGATATTGCTCCTTATCTTCCTTATAGATCGCCAATTCTTCAGTATATAATGCTAGTTCGATATCGGTTGGCTTTGCTGGAGCCTTTGGGGCGGCTGCAGTAGTTGATGAGCCATCTGATTGGCTTGCTTCTGTTGCTTGGGGTTCTGCTGAGGCCAACTTCACCTGTTAATTGGCTAGAACCATCAGATGAGTCGGTCGAATCGGCGGAATGGGGTAAGGCCTCTCTCCCTAGAGTATATCAAGCACTCCATGGGTTCGGGCTAGGCTGATTATATGTGAGTCCCATGTCCACCAATCATCGGGCTTATCTAGCACGATGGAGACCTTTGTAGTGGATCTGATTGGTTCAGCATAGTAGTCCATATTAGCTTTGGGGTGACGGCGGTGTTGATATATCTTCAATTCTTCCGAATCAGGCAATTCCAATGAGATATCTCGCTAATGCTATGAGATAGAGCTCTCCAATATGCAGGCCTTGGAAGAATGATAGCAGAAGTCAATCCGTGCGTCCCTTAAGGGCAAGCCGGGCTCATAACTATTGAAAATAGTAATACTGTATTGATTTACAAATCGCTAGCAATTTCTATGGCCAATCGAAAATGAATGAAGGTCTGATCTTCTAAATGAATGACTATCTAGCTCCTATTTATCCCTTCCATTAGAGGCCGGGATTTGGCTGATCAAATGACGAATATTTGCCGAAATATTATCGCCAAGAGGCGGCACGGAGAAATCAAATCACTTCCCAATCGGGCAAGCGGTCATATAATTCAATATTATATAACCTCTCCCCTCTCCTCTTGAAAATCCTCAACCACTTTATCTTTATTTAGCACCGCCTTATTAGTTCGCCACAACACCATGCCTGTTACTCGATCAGTCACACATACCAGTGAAATGAATGCTGAGAAGACTACAATAAAACACGCATCAAAGCAACAGAATGACTTGCATGCTATCAACAACACTACCATGAAAATAAACACTGAAGATCCATCTGCCGTGGAAAGGCCACCTCAGAGCCGCAGATTGGTAGAATGGATATCACTCAAAGATCCACCTAATGGTGTCATCCTAAATAATGATGAACTTTTTGCGACCCTCCAAGAGATACATAAACTCAAAGAATGCATTGTTATCGCTCGGGCCGTCCACGTGAACTAAGTGAGATTGAGTGGTTGATTATCGGTAAGCACCATTAGCCTTTTAATATAGAATATGCTATGCCGTCTTCTAAATATCTAATAATTAACCAACTACTAGAGTGGAGAAGCAGCAAAGACAGGGAGGAGTTTCTTACCTCAGAGCTTTTCCTCAGATTAAATGCAGCCCTTGTACATCGCTTATGGAGCCAAGAAGTGGCCTGGCCAATCCCTGGTGCTGGGAAGATTATACGCGCAAACCCGCTTTTCCCTCCACAGAGGCTTTATGAGGTCCTGATAATCTATTTCCCTGCAGACTTAGATCAGGAAGCTATCTACTCTATTGAAATGTTTAGAGGGCTACCACGCTGGCACATTAATGGTGAAGACCCAGCTAAATATCCCTCAGCAGCGCTTAAGTCCCAGATTCCTGCATGGATAGAGGGGACTTGTGAGTACCAGAGGCAAACTGCAAGGCGGTTAGCTTATTTCATTGAGTTTGCTGATGAGGAAGGAGAACAAATCTATAAAGAAAAGGTGAGGTATAATCCACGCGGAAGGCCACCTTGGGATGTCATGGTGAATTTCTTTGATAAGCTAAAAGATCTTGGGATGATTGGGTATAAATCACTGCATGTAGAATTTGTGGAGGTTGTTCATTATGTACCGGAGAACTATGTACCAGAGCCTCCCCAACCTATATCTCCTGAAGCGATGAAGCGTTTAGATGATTTGCCAGCCTATGACTCAGATGTATCATTATAGAAGGAAAGCAATGGCAGAGCGGGTTGCACAGGGTGGCACCAATGGTCATTCAAAAGTGCTACGGAACAACAGACAGACTTTAAAAAGACTCATTTTCAGTTAATTTACTAGTAGGGATTGCTTGGACCCATCAAAGTCGCCCAGGAAAAGTATCACAGAACACAAGGTAGTGCATGCCGAATCCCTGGGAGAGAAGCTGAGAGGAACACGAAGATGCAAACAGAAAAAGAGGCCAGAGATTACATTTCAACGTAGAAATATAGATAGATTGAGAGCAGAATCGACGGGCTCTGACATCAATCAGCCTAACTCAGCTTCTATAACACTACATCCGGTACACCTTGGCATTTCTTGAATGAACTTCAACACCTTATGGCGCTTCCGCTAGCGCCTCCACGAATCACCCTTTGTGCATTCACCACAACAAACATTGCTTACTCCAGATCATCCTGCAAACCAGTCAATACACGAGGGAGCAACGTCCGTCGGTTTGATCTTCGCATCAGGGGCATATCGGTGCTGGTTTGATTGTTCGATCGCTTAGCAACAGTTGATCTGCTGGCGCTCTGAGCGCAGATCTGTCGTGACCAGTCACATTGATCAAGATACATAGCAGTGGCGAACCAGGTATAGGTATCGGCATTCTTGACAGCTTTGGCTTTTGATTCCTCGCAAGTGTAGCCACATTTGGAGGAAAGTAAGCCTTTTGCCCATTAGTGAGCGTCTCATCGGTGACAACTTTAACCAATTCATGAGTATCAGTTACGGGGTTTCAAGATCGCATAAAAAGCAGAAGGTTAACTCACCTTGTCTCGTGACCAAGTGTGCTAGCTCATGCAGCAAAGTACCGGGCGTTGAAAGCGCTGCCCCTAGTGGTGTTCCGTCGGCTATGATCTTTTCCTTAGAGCGCCAAGCACTAAGGGAATCCTTTCTTTTAGCTCGAGTGAAGCTATATGGGCACATGGTAATCGTGTAGACCTTCTGTTCGTCGAAGACGACTGTGAACCCTAATGTTGCCTCCAAGTTGGTGTGGACACAGCCCGGGCCGGTGCCAAGAAATGATTTGTACAAAGGAGACCACCAGCTCCACTTTGTAGCACCGCCTTGATGATAATCATAATGTCAGGGCTGGTTCAAGCTAGAAATTTGGCTTAAAATAGTTTGTTATTGATTGAGCTCACCTGTCGCCTGAGAGATTGTCTTGCCATTCATTTGTCCATCAGATCCATAGTCCATCTCCGTCCTCCATCGCCAGCTATCGTCGCAAAAGAAACCCGGCTGAGAGATCTCTTCTTCCTCTGTGCTTGTCGAGAAAGCAATGATTTGTCCGAAAATATCTAGTAGGAAGTATGTCAACCCTGGAGTCCACCTCTACTCAATGATCGGTAGAGTAAGAGGCAGGTAGTAATGCAATCCCTGCCTGTACTCTCAGCGTAGAAATAAATAACGCAAATGGAAGTATCAACTAACATTTAACGTATGCGAATTGTGCTGAGTCAATGGCTGACACCGTTGTAGGTGACGATGAATCGGGTTTATTCCAAAGAATGTCTCTACAGTTGCGCGCACCGTCGCACTGGTAGCATAACTGTTTAAGGAATCCAAGGCCACCTGAGCAAGGTCAATTGCCTCAGTATAGATGGCACTCAAATCCGCATCCGTGCCATAGCAGGTTCCACCGTAGGTACCACTTCCAGATCGTGTAACAGGCCTTGGCCCTGCTCAACACGAAAGCGACTACCGATATCCAAAGCACAGGATTGACCAATAAACATGAAAATTCCTATCCAGTTCAGCAACCATCGTGCGGAATTTTGCAGGCAAAAGTTCATGGTGCAAAGGCTTCTCTTATGGTCTCAAGAAAGAACCATGAAAATAGCTAAATTTGTTTAGGAAATAGCAACCATCAACGTTGCAAAAGAGAGACGAGAAGAAAATTGAAGGTTTAATGACAACACTTCATGTATAGTGAAAAGAGCGAAAAAAGAGTGAGTGATCTTGGGACCCAAATGAGAACGAGTGGAAAGGAGTGGCTAGAGACAGCATATGTAGTGAAAGCTGAATATAGATGAGTCTTATATTGTGCAGGAGGTCCCAAAACTCCAGCGAATTCCCAATTGGCCGAAAGCGAGAAATCGAGCTAAACCGCATGACGAGTTAGCAAAGACTGGAAAACTCAAAGCGATAATATAATTTACATGAAAAAGTAGTGTAAGATTTTTTCTCCATATCACAATGCCACGGGATGCCCGCTTAGTATAGTTCATACTCACATGTAAGCGAATGTTACAGCCCCGCTCTCCCTCAATCTCCCCTCTTCTCACGGACTTACAGCAAGAATAGGCTAGACAGGCCGCTTTCTCTCATTCAGTCCTCATTTCGGAGTAAAAGCCCACGGAGTAGAATGAATGGTGGAGAGCGGAGAGATTGTCTAAAAGTTATGCGAAGGAGGGTGACTAAAAGCTTAGCGAAAATATAGTGTGAATGCCAAGTGAGGGCAATGCATCGACTAGGCAAGCTAGTTCTTCCATCCGTTGTGCCACTCGCCTTAGTTTGAAGTCAGTTGTTTATTAAACAGACCCACACATGCTACTAAAAAGCAATGGAAAGTCAGAAAATGGTCTCATATCAACGAACGGAATAGGAGATCATCTGACGTTGGGGTTTTGGAATGGCGAAGCCTGGCTATTGCCCTAAGAGCAAGTCATTCTCTCTTGTGCTCTATCCATCGATTTCTAATTCAGGAAAACTCTACTCTAAACAGACTTTTCCGAATGCTCAAAAACTCTGCCAAATGCGCGGCCTTTTGCCGAACAATTAAAGCAGACTAAAATAGTTGAAACTTGAAAGCAATGCTAGCATCATAGCGCGAAAGAGTAAAATTTCCTCAGGGGACGTGCGGATATGACATTAGCTCTGAGGTTCGAGGATGAAAAAAATTGCAATTAGAGAAGATTAGACCGTTCAACTCGGAACATATCTGTGCTCCAATATTTACTTGGTCTGTCTAGATACGTAGAGCTGGGAAAGCCAATTATATCTGCAAAGCATCGTTGATCTCCCATCCCGGATACCGTTGGAGGTAACGAGAGGAAAGGAGCGAGAACAAGCGGAAACAGGGGTGCCGATGTGACCAAATGACCCTAATATATCTACATATCCCTAGAGGCACCATGGCCGCTGCAGCAGGGCACTGTTCCATATCTATACTAGCTCTTCCATTCAAAATTACCTTCTGCGAATCCGACCTTTTTGAGTGGAGAAACGCCGCGTTTCTTTCCTCCTAGCGCCCTACAAAGGCTCCTTTCAATTACCCGAAGCTTACCAGAATAGCTAAAGATTCATTCTTAGGAAAACAATACAAAATGCAACTAATTACCGGAGTAGATAGAGGTCAAAAATGAATCTGTGGTAATAAAGTCTCGAAGGCGTCGGATTATCTTAATCTTCTACTCCCATACACTCTTTTTCGTCTTTTTTTGTGACTTTCCTGCTCCCATACCTTTAAGGTGTCTCGCGGAGCACCTTGTCAAGAGCTATGCGGCATCTTCGTCCTTCTTTTGCATTCTCTTTTCTTTCCTTCCTTACGTTCGTTTTATCTGATGATATCTCTTGCGACTCGACAAATCCTTGTACTGAAGGATGCTGTTCTAAGTTGTCGAATGTTTGCGGCTACGGCCAAGATTATTGTTCAGTCTACCAACTGCATCGCTGCAGCTAGTACAAATGGGACTTGCTCCCAGCTTGGCTGAGTGTGATCCTGGTGTCTACCCAGGCTGGGCAGACAAGTGGGGTAATGAGCTATCCCAGATTGGAGAGATGTTTTAATAATACTGTCAAAATCATCTAATATTCTTTGATATTCTGATTCAGGCTCTCCAGTATGCAAATCCGGAAATTGCCCTCTGAATGTCTGCTGCAGCGAGTTTGGCTTCTGTGGAACAACCACGGACTTTTGTGGCGACACTACTGTTGCTGAGCCAGTATGCGACGGAACTTCGGCAACGAAGACTATCGCATAACTATGGAGGTTGGAACTCTGAGCGTGCCTGTGACACCATGCCGCCAGAGAATATCCCAATTGTGCGGTTACACGCACCATTAATTCGCTTTCTTTTACCATTGACCCCTGATCTTTACACAATAAAGCCGATGGAAACTTCTCAGCAAGAGCTCTACCAGTCGCGTCACCGGCGCTGAAAAAGCGAAAGAATGACTAGAAGTCTGGATTTCTCATCCGTGATAGGGGCCCTTCAATGACCCTGGATCAAACTGCTAACCACCTTTTCCGAGCTGGCGGCATCTAAGTCCAAGCAATCGACCTTCTTCGATGTCATTATTGAACTTTTTGGACAAATACGGATTCGATGGTGGTGGATTTGGATTGGTATTGCTTTGCATGCTCCCCCCTCCGGCCCCCCAAACAACCAAAAAACAACTCTTCCAAAATACCTTGACTAATAAGAAGAAAAAATAAAAGGGAATACCCAGTTGACGCTGAAGCGTGGCGGATCAGATGCCGATTATGACAACTATCCAACCTTCTTGGCAAATCTTCGCTCCTGCGCTTGATAGCGCAGATAAAGGCTATGGCTTAACATATACCCTACCCAGTAGCTACTGGTAACTTTCAGCATTCGATGTCGTGGAGAATGCAAAGAG